TGGGCTCAAGTTCACTCATCCATACAAGGTGATGATGCATCCTGCTGAGCCCAATCCTCAGGGTGGGAGTTACAAGAGTCCATGGAAATACCAAGGGGGGCAGTGTCTAAAGTCAAGCACTAAGCATGGTTCCCAGCACTCTCTTCTGGGCCCTGCAGGTCTTCCAGGGTGGTGAACAGCAGCCTGAGGCTTCAGGAGGGGGCCGCTCAGGTGGGGAGGCAGGGTCAGGCCACCAAGGGCTGGGGAGCAGGCTCGGAGGCAGCCGAGGCCCTCTCTCAGAGATGGGAATGTGGATGGATGGGGGAGGGAGGAAGGTGAGGACAATGGGGAGTGGAGCTGGGGGTCCTAGGAGGGTGTCGGCCCCTCATCAGGTCCTCACAACTACACTGCGAGGCCAGCCTTGCCCAATTTACAGATGGGGACACTGAGGCTCCGGCTGAGGAGGCTTGGGGCAGGCAGGTTGTGTGGTGCTGGTGGGGCCAGGTGGGTGTGTCTGACTGGGAGCTGCTGCCTGTGCCCTGGATTTGAGACAGCAACAATAATGACCATCACGACCATGATAGCGGCACCTCCCAGGACCCCGGCCACAGCCGCAGTGATGAAGACAGCACAGCATGTGGCAGGAATGTGGTGACGTTCTTGGGCCCGGCTTAACCCCGGGGGCATAGCAGCTCCTCTCGTTGGCCCGTCTACTGCTTGCTCCTTTAGCCTGAGGGGGGTCCTGGCAGTGCAGAAGTGAGACCTGGGCTGTCAGTGTGAGGGGACCAGCGCCCACCACCTGAGGAGAGAGAGGGCTCAGCCCAGACCCTGTCCCGGACCCCCAGTGCTGATGCTCCTGCTGCATCCCTTGCACGGGATTTGCTGAGCAGCTAACATGTGCTGGGGCCCTGAGTCGGGCTGCAGTTCTGGCCGTGGGAGCTGCACACCATTGCACAACTGACAAGGGCGGGGAGTCTGGCAGGTGGATGAAAGTCCAGAGAGTGAGGTCAGGTCAGGGATTGGTGGGAGGGCCAGGCCGGGCTGAATACAGGCGGGAGTGTGTGAGTGTGTGTGAGTGTGTGTGTGTGTGTGTAGGGGGTAGTGCTGCCTCCTGCACTGTGAACTGAGTGTGCAATTGTGCAAGGAGGGCCAAGGTGCTTAGAGAGGCTCTCTACGCCTGGGAGGAAAACCTGGGACTTCCGCGGTGCGAAGGAGACACTGTTAGATGAAGAAGGCACCTTGTCGCAGGTGCTGTGTCCCTGGGGTGCCTGCTGGGTCATACTGGGCTCTGGGCCCTCAGCGGTTGTCCTGACTACTTTCAGGAGGAAATGACGGGCAGAGTCTTGGGGTCACTGGAGAAGACAGTCCAGAGAATCTGAGCAAGAAACTTCACAGTCTGAGTTCATTATCTACTAAGTGGAAGGAAAGCCCCGCTTCTCCGAGAAATTAAACGACGGCGGCTGAGCTTTGTGACCATTGCACCCCTCTCGACGCCCCTGCTGGCTCCTAACTCAGTTATAAATCCCACAGGCGGGGAATGGCACAACGCCCCACCTGCCTGGCCATGCGATTCGGCAGCACCTGGCGTTTGCTCGGCCAGCTGGCAGGAAAATCACATTTCTAGCGATTGATGGAGTGCGTGTCTGTGGGGACCAAGATGTGGGGACTGCGTGGGGCTGAGCCACTGCCGTCAGACCCTTCAATACTGCTGTGCGGTGGCCTGGGGGCTGCCTCGAGCCCCCCACCCACCAAACCCAAGGGGTTTCTGAGAGGGGAGACTGCGCTGGCCTCATCTGGGGAGCCAAGGGCCTTTAGGCTGGACCCAGCAGTCGCCCAGCTTACTCCTCTGCCCCAGCTCTGGGATCTGCTCCCCGCCAACCACGGGCCCTCCCGCTGCAGAGCACCCATCAGAACCGCTGCGGCAGCCAGGGTGGGAGCCAGGAACAGGGAACTCCTGGGCACTGAGGCAGTCCTGGCTCCCAGCACAGCGGCCCCTTGCCTCCACCTCCCCTGGCATCGCCTGCCTGCCCTGTCCTGGCATTGCCTTGGCCTCCTGCCTCTGTCCCCCCGAGGTGGTCCTTGACCCACTGCTTGGGTCCCACTAAGCCTCCCCAGAAGTGGCTGAGCCTCATTAGGAGACTCCAGGAGCTCAGGGGATGAGGGTGTGTCTGCAGCTGTCTTCCTCCTGCCGCCCCTGCACGGCGGGCCCCGAGGAGCTGGAGAAGCTGGAGTCATTCGCAGGAGAAAGAGCTGGGGTGGGCAGGGGAGAAAAAGAGAGAAGCCACAGAGGCTGGGCTCACAGGAGACGTCTGGAGGTGAAAGCAGAAGCGAAGAGAGATTTGGGGGAGCAGCGGCATTCAGCAGGAGGCTCCTGAGAGGGCTGTGAGGGGAAGAGAAGCCTTTCCAGGGGCTGATGAGCATTCAAGAACCTCCCTGGCCCACACTCCTTGTGTGGACATTCTCCAATGTGACTGAGAAGAGCCGCAGAGAGCGCTTGTAATGCCTGTTTGGGTGCCAAGCAGTGTTCCACTGACTGGGACACCGCATGGAGGCTGGGCCGCCTGGGGCCAGGGACCTAGTCCGGTTACAGTCAGAGCTATAATGCTGGAGATGTCCTGGGTCACACAGCCGGGAGGACCCTGGAGTGGCAGAAAAGGAGGCTCCTCCCTGATCTCCAGATCCAATCCCCTCTCACTTTGGTTCCTCAATTGGTAAAACTGAAGCCAAAAAAGGAAGCTCCTCACGCAGAGTCACGCTGCGGGTCAAAGAGCACAGCAGGAGTGGGACGGTGCCCGTGAAGCCAGCCAGGGACTGGTTAGTCCCGTGTCCTGCACCACACCCCTGTGGGTTCTGACAACCCTTTTTCACACTCACAAGGTGATGGGAACACCTGCCTGAGCTTGCACTCAGGACAGTCAGGAAAGACGAAGAGCCTCTGAGCTCCCAAAGGAAATGTGTCCCACCTGGACTTGGAGCTCAGCCGCCCACTCAGGCTCCGTGCAATCCCTGCAGGCTTGGCAAGCTCTCTGCATCCTGATGGCATAGCACAGTGCCTGGCACACAGCAGGTGCACAATGTGCGCTTGTTGGTGACAAGCAATATGGAACAGGGGTAGGGTGGGAACCGCTGCTGAGACAGGCAAAAGTGTTCTGGGCAGTATGAGATGGAGCTGTTAGCAGCAAGCACGGTGACACAGGAAACGGAGGGCCCTGAGGCCGAGGCAGGAAAACAGCCCCCAGGTGCTGAGTGCAGGGCGCTCACGACATCCACCATCCTCTTGGCAAGTGTTCGGGGAGGTGTGAGCTATGTATTCCAAATGCACGTGCACGCAAAAGGTGTGGGAGTGGGGGAGGACCACCGTTTTAAACGGAAGATTCTCAGCTATCAAAAAGCTTGGCTCTTATAGACACTTTCCAGTGCCTCCCAAGCTGTGGTATCTACAAGCATCACCCTCAGAGAGGCCTGGTCAGTAGGCTCTGGGTCTTCAGTTTGGCAAACCCTCAAGATGTGTCTGTTGCAAGGGGTTCACATTTCAGAACACCCCACTGTTGCGTCCTGCCTGGAGTCCCCACTGCTCAAGGGTGGAGGTTGGCTGCTTCTCTACCCATCACCTCCACATTCCTCAGAGCCTGGCACAGACCCCTGCCCCAGGACTCAGCCAGCATTTGTCAAACGGAGCCACACAGGGCTGTGTCTTTGTCTCCTGTATGATGGATGGCGTCATTATTCGATCGATAAGCACAAGCTGATTTATGCATATCTTATTAATTATTTAAGGCACTCATTATTGAAAAGGTCACTACCTGCTAGCTATGTGACCGATCACTAACTCGCTCCGTTGCTGCCTCCAAAGAGGAGGCAGCAAGGGTTAACTGAGGACCTACTATGTGCCAGGTAAGGGCACAGTTAACCCTTGGGAGGGGGCAGTCTTACCCACTCCTCCTTCACGAGGATTGGAAGGTTAAGAGGGTGAAATTCGTGCCTGAAGTCAAGGAGCAGGTAAATGGCGGAGCCAGGACTCAGACCCAGGTCAGATTGCCTGCAGAGCTCCTGGACATGAACCCAGGGGTCACTGTCTGGCAAACTCCTGCACCCCTCCAGCAGGGGGATTCTGGGATGGATCTTACAACCCGGGTTTGGTATCACGATGTCCCTGGATGATGTGCCCTGAGCCCTGTGTGCCTATGGCTGCAGCTCAGCCCTCACAGAGCATCTGAACCTCTCACTCTACCCCTTGACCTGGGAATCGACCCTCCGTCTGGCTCCTGCCCTTGGTGCTAGCCAGCCTCCCAGGGAGTTCCTGCTCCAAACACACAGACCCTGCCTCTCCCCTTCCAACTCTAGATGCTGCACTACCCAGGGCCGCCTGGGGTTAGGTCAGGCCCATTCCCACCATACTGGAACTGGGCGGAAATGGGAATTGCTGTGGACAAGCTCAGATCTGAACACAACCCTGGAACAGCCACCCCACAAGACCAGCCCTGGAGACGCCACCTCCCTCCCTGGCTTCCTTCCTTCCTTCCTTCCTTCCTGAACAGCCTGCCTGAGTCAGCGCTAGTACCCCTCATGCCACACAAGGCATGTACGTATAAGGAACCAAGTAACATTTGTATTTTCTAACCTCATGCTGAAAAATCTGCCTGGACAGACTGATTTGCTTCCTTTGGCCAGATTTACAACTCAGAAAGGCATCCGGTTTTCCCCTTTGCCTTGACAACTAGGAAACACGCAAAACTCCACTCAATGTTTAGTGTTTCCATCTCTCACACTGGGCTCTAAGCGCAACGAGCTTGCAAGCTTTGCTTCTAAGCTCTGTTTCCACCTCTCATTTTGACTCTCCTGTCCAGGCATGTGTTGTAGGCTACCCATGACGGTTTGAAATTTTTCTTGGCAAACAGCAAGATAAGCAAACAATCGGGTACCTAATGAGCCAAACACTATGGCGAGAATGACGGCATATTCTCCAAGCGCTCCAAAGACAATCACCCAAATCAGTCTGGGTCTCTATTGCAGCCACTCACCAGGCAGACGAACTCTGGAAGGTCATCAGCGGTGGGCTGTGAGCATCTCCCCGCAGTGTGTGCACGGCCTGGGGGGCTTGCGGCAGTGGGCCTGGGGGAGGCTGCGGCTGTGGGGCCCGCTGCCCTGGCCGAGGGGCCCGAGCAGGGTTCCCCCACCGCCGGGGGTCCTGTTTCATCCATCGTCCCTGGATGCCCCACCGTGCCAGGTAGACCTTGCAGATGTCGTAGTTCATTGCCGAGTAATACAAAAGGTCCAGAACCAGCAGCATCAACACGAAAAAGCCATAGATCCACACTCCCAACAAGGCGGTGTAATTGCTGTGAACAAACAGAGAGGGAGGGAGTGAGGAGAGGGGAGCAGCCCAGCTCGGTCCAGCTTCATCAGTGGGGCTGATTAGAGAACGTGGCCTGGGGGCTATGTTGTGGTCCCAGGGAGGAGGGTACTGAGCCCCTCTGGAGGGCAAGGCCTTGGCTCCCTCTCCTCTGCCTGCCCTGTTCGCCTCCTTCCCTGGAATCCACTGCCTGGTCCCTACCTGAGCATCCCTTGGGCTGGGATCCCTCTGGGTCCCACAGAATCAGGTACTTTGGGGGGAATTCTGAGCCGGCATCTGGGGCTCCCGGGACATGATAGCCTCTTCCTTTACGTGGTGCTGTTTTGGCCTGCCGTCTCCCTCCTTCCGGCGGGTGCCCCTGCTCACCGCCCCCCACCCCACCTGTGTCTACGTTGTTCCTGACACCCGGGATGCTCTCACTGCCTCACCCCTGCTGTGAGGATGGAGGTCCTCCCCATCCTGCTGGACCAAGGGCAGAGGCATCAGGTTCTGCCCTCCAGACCCCCTCCCAGCCTCCCCCAGGGGTTCCCTTCACTCCACACGACCAGGCTGTGCATGGCCGGGGGTGTCCGGGCCCCATGACCTCACTTCTCTTATTCATTTGCCCAACATTTCCCCACCGAGGGCTGCTCTGCCTTCCTCAGGCAGAGGTGGCCAATGTTACCGTTGGGTTTGGAAGCCCGCTGTGAAGCCTGGCTCTCCCGGCATCCACTGACTCCACCGCAGAGAGGGTCTGCACTCCCAGCAACCGACCTTTGTACAGGCTGTGCCTTCTTTCCCTGCCCCTTTCCTCCCCTGCCTACCTCCCACCGGCCCTTTGTCGAAGATCACTTCCTCCAGGGAGTCTTCCGGACACCCTGACCCTCCTACACGGCTAGGTCAAGCCTGTCTTCTGGTCCACAGCCCTGAGTTCCCCTCAAACCCAGGTCCTGTCACCCAGAGCCACATCTGTCTTCCACACCCTTCCCCAGGGCCGGGGTCCGAGTCTCCCCCACTGTGTGCCCAGGGTCGATGGTGTCCTGGGCTTGCTGCTACAGCTGGGGCTGCTGAGCCCTAACAGTGTGTGCCAGGGGCTGTGACTGCCTGAAGTCACCGATCCATTAATCACTCCGGTGCCGCCTCCATCTGCTCCCTGCTGCAGGCATGTGTTTGGGTGGGTGTGCGCTTCTGGTGTCGAGGAGGTATGAACGGAGCCAGTGTCCAGCCTGCACACGCCGCCGCTGCACATCCCTAGGGAGAGACTCACCTGGCTCCCACCCAGATGGGGGTCTTGGGGGCAGCAGATCCTTTAAGATCCTGTTTGAGGCTGGGGGAATGGGCCAACCCGGAGCCTAGAGGCCTGGTTCTAATTCTTCCTCTGCCTGGTTTGCTGTGTGGTGTGGGAAAACCCTTGCCTGTCTCTGGGCCTGGAGGAGATGAGCATTAGGCCTCTCCCAGTCTCACCTTCCAGGCTCCAGATCTCCCCAGGCTTAGGTCAGTCCCGGGTGCCAGCAGCGGCCTCTGTAGGAAGATGGGGGCTGCTTCCCTTGGACTCCTCTGGCCCCGACCAGGGCTGAGTCCAGGGCTGGGGAACTCGCTTTCACTCTCTGCCTGGAATCCTTCTCTCCCCTCACTTGGCCAAGCTCTTGGCCTGAAGATGCTGCTCGGGTGCCTGGGAACCTCTGGATGGGAGGCATCTGCCTGTCCTGAGCACTTCCCATGAGCAACCGCAGGCTGGTGCTTGGGCTTTGTCGCTGTAATCCCACATCTCCCGATCACTGTGGGTCCTTGCTGCCTCCCTGCCCCCCCCCCAGCCCCCACCGCCATGAAACCTGCATCAGACTGATGGGCTCGGTCATGCTAAGGTGTAAATGACTGACAGCCAGGCCCCACCAGCCTTATGTTAAAGGGAGTCTGTTAAAGAGAGTCTAGCTTTTCCTGGAGGCATCTGGATATGGAATTCCTTCCAGGAATTCCAGGAAAAAGAGGCCTGTGGCCCCATCCAGCATGCTGGCGCAGGCATGCCCAGGGTAGATGTCCCTGCAGACCGTGGTCTGAGGAGGTAGGCCTGGTTCCAGTCCCCAGGCCCTCCTGCTTTCCCCAGCAGCCTCCCTCCTGCAGCCCCCACAGAACTGCTCTCACTGCCAGCTTTTTCTTCAGTGGTTCCCATGGCAGCAGCCACGGGGGCTGAGGGAGGAGACGGGGAAAGGGGAGGCAGGGCAGCTGTGTGCAGATGCTGTCCACAGAAGGGGTCCAGGATACCAGCTGGGGGTGTGGCTGGGCCACAGGCTGGGCCTCGAACCACCAGGCCAAGAAATAATAGTACCAGAAGTGGCAGTGGACACTTGTTCCCCCACCTGCTTCCCACGTTAGCCCTTTTAATGCTCACGCAACCACGGGAGGAAGGAGTTTTTTTCATCGTTGTCATCCCTGCTTTACAGATGGAAAACTGAGGCTCAGTGGAATTAAGAGACTTGCCTAACAGCTCACAGCCATTAAGGGGCAGAACCAGAATTTGAACTCAGCAGCTGAGCTCTAGAGTTGCGCTCCTAACCACTACAACGCACTGCCTTGACTGCAGCCACCCAGGTTCTCAGGTACAAAAGCTGCTCCAGGGGCCGGGCACGGTGGCTCACACCTGTAATCCCAGCACTTTGGGATTTGGTGATGGGAACACCTTCCTGAGCTTGCACTCAGGACAGCTTGCACTCAGCCAGCCTCCACCCTTGAGCAGTGGGGGCTCCAGAGAGCTACAGACAATAAAATATCTGTTGGCAGGACCCAATAGTGGGCTGTTCTGAAATGTGGACCCCTTGCAACAGACACATCTCGAGGGTTTGCCAAACTGAAGACCCAGAGCCTACTGACCAGGCCTCTCTGAGGGTGATGCCTGTAGATACCACAGCTCGGGAGGCACTGGAAAATGTCTTTAAGAACCAAGCTTTTTGATAGTCGAGAATCTTCCATTTAAAACGGTGGTCCTTCCCCACCGCCGAGGCGGGTGGATCACAAGGTCAGGCGATCGAGACCATCCTGGCTAACATGGTGAACCCCCATCTCTACTAAAAATACCAAAAAAAAGTAGCCAGGCATGGTGGCGGGCACCTGTAATCCCAGTTACTTGGGAGGCTGAGGCAGGAGAATGTCATGAATCCCAGAGGCAGAGCCTGCAGTGAGCTGAGATTGCGCCACTGCACCCCAGCCTGGGTGACAGAGCGAGACTCCATCTCAAAAAAAAAAAAAAAAAGAAAGAAAAGCTGCTCCAGCCCAACAGCACTCCTGCCTGGAGGCCTTTGTCCATGCTGCACCTCTGTCCAGAACCCCTGCCTACTTCCTGCACACCCAGCTGGCCCTGGCACTGTCTTAGCCCAGATATCACCTCCTCCAGGAAGTCTTCCTTGATGCCCTGTGTCAGTCCAACCCCTACCCTGCATTCTCAAAGCCACTGGATTTCCCAGAACACACTGTTGTCTTTGTTGTTTTGTAGGACTGTCTGCCCCTGGAGATTGGGAGGGCCCTGAGGGCGGGGTTAGGGTTCAAATCGTCTTTATGAGCCCAGCACTCAGCCTTAGGCTGCGAATACTGACACCAACACGTATTGAGAGCTGAGGATGGGCTGGTGACAGTGGCCGCTTTGATACTAACTTCCCTGGAGTTTATAGGCTGCATGTCAGTGCGCCGGCAGCTAACAGAAACACTGGCCATTGTCATGCACCAGTGCCCTTTGCTTCTGAATCCGTGCAATGGTGCCATGAGGGAGGAGCTAGTATCCCCACGTCACACATGAGTAAATGAGACCCAGAGAGGCAAAGTCACTTGCCAAAGGCCACACAGCTGGTGCGTGGCAGCGCTGGGAGCTGGACCCAGGATCCTCTGACTTCAAGTAAGCTGATCTTGGGGGAATTCCACGGTCGAATCCAGGACAGATGTCCAGAGAGGGGTCCCCTGCACCTGCGTGGTGTGCCCGCTTGTCCTGGCCCACCCTCTACCAGGAACTGAGAGCAAGTCCCCATCCTCCCTCCTCGGGGCATCCTGCAGATCAGTGTGTCATTGTCATCGTGTGTGTGTGTGTGGTGTGTGTGTGTACCGCCGGGCTTCCGGACTCTGCAGCCAGCTCGCTGGAATTGACACATGACACGACCTCCGGCCCTCCCAGCTCATCCTCGCTGTCAGGGAAGGGAGGGGACTGCCTGCAGGAGGTGTTGCCTTTGCTGACTCGCCCTCCCTTGTGAGGTGACTACCCTGGAGGTGGCAGGTGGGGACACCCGGGCCATGGGCACCATGCTGAAACCACTCCCCCGGCCTGCCACGGCTGGCCCTCCCCATGGTCAGCCAGCTGGGAAGATTCAGGGCTTTACAAAACTTTCATAAATGTAATGAAAAATATGTGACCTGGAAATTAATTCCATCCAGATGCAGGGGTCTTTGTTATGTGGGTGTGTGTTTTGTAAATGGCAGAAGATAAAAAACCAAAGGCTGTTTTATGGAGCAAGATGTGAAGGCAGCCAAAGCCGCAGATCGCAATTTTTTCAGTGTATTTTGGGATATTTACTGATTCAAATTCTTTTGGTGTTTCCCAAGCAGTAAACAAAACCTTCTCTGATGGAGGAATCTCACTGAACGTCTTCCCGGGGCACAGGAGCAGATCCGTCAGCAGGAAGAGCAGCTGCAGCCAGTGTGGGGATGGAAGTCCCCGTCACCACCCCACCAGGCAGTCACACTTGAGGGTGGAGGAGGAGAGTTCCTGAGGCCAGCAGGCCAGAACGAGATGTCGGCACAGCTGGAAGATGGCCGATGGCCCCTCTGCCAGCCTCATCTAAAAAATGGGAGTGTGGCCTGCTGGGTGCAGTGGCTCATGCCTGTAATCTCAGCACTTTGGGAGGCCGAGGAAGGTGGATCACCTGAGGTCAGGAGTTCGAGACCAGCCTGACTAATATGGAGAAACCCCGTCTCTACTAAAAACACAAAATTAGCCAGGCGTGGTGGTGCATGCCTGTAATCCCAGTT